GGGCTTGGGAAGCAATGGAGGTCAGCTGACTGTGGAAACAGGGGCCAGCTGCATAAACTCATTTTATGAGCATTCCTCCATAACACATTCCCACCCTCTAAATAAAGAGACAGAGGTAAACAAGGGAGCCCTTTCATCTCCTTTGAGGGTGGGGGGTGGGTGGGAGCTGAGATTCCCTTCCAGTGCTCTGTTCCTTCCAACAGTCATGAGGGGAGAAAAAAGGCAACATTATTTGGGGGGGGGGGTTTCAAAGAAAAGTGTTTCCCAGTGCAATCCTTCATATGTTGTATGTGTGGACATGTTATGCAATCATAGGTCATTTACTGAGGTCAAACAAGTGTTAAGAGTATAAATGAAACTATGCATAAAAATATGTGCTGGCTGCAAAACAGGCCTGCACCATCCTTGAAAGTATTAACTTTCATCACAACTCAAGTTTCAGTTTACAGGAATTGATGTGGTGATCACCTCTCTACTCAATATTTTGCAAGGAAAGTGGCTCTTTGTCATTACATTATACACACAGTCCTCCTGAAACTGTATTTGGAAGGACAAGAAATCTATTTAATTGAGAGAGAGAAATGTATGTTTACATGCCTGTCTGTTAAAAAGGCACAGATAAGGTCCTTTGCCTGTTTTGAGATTTCCACATCTTCTGGGAAATGCAGTGAGTTCTTGTGATCCATTATTTTACTGTATGTTCCAACCAGTGAATCAGCATAAAATGGAGTGTCTCCTAAAATTCAAAACATATAAACATTAATTAATGCTAAATACTAAAACTGAAATCAGATACAGTAGCTAAATGCAACTCAAGATGATATACCAACCATTCTTTGTGCAAAGGCTTAAAACAAACAAAAAAGACCCATGGGCAAACAGCACAGAAATCACAACCTGGGACATTATTTTCCTTCTTCTAGTGTACAGTAATAGGGAAGAAATTGGAAGCCTTTGTTTCTGCTTAGGAAAGAAGCTGTTCCTCACTATGTATACATAGGAAAATTCTGATAAATTTAGAGAATGATTAATTGAAACCTGAAAGAATATGAAATTGGGATATATATGATGTTGATCTGCTCCCTAACCATACCTTCACAGAGTTTAGATGCAACTTTATCTAGTATGGAAACAGAAATGTGGGGGTTCCCATATTCTACTTTAAGCCATGGGGGTGATGGTAGGGGGTAGGATGCCTAAAGTGTATGGCAGGATTATTCATGTAAACCAAACCATAATTTAATTCCATGTCCAAACAGCACAGTTTTTTTTTTTAAAAAAAAAATCTGACAAGCAACAATTATGGGTGGTGTCCAAGGGGGTTGATCCACTGATTGAACCGCTCCAATAGGTAAAAACAGGGGATATCCCCCTTCTGTCCCGTCAGGAGTCAACACCTGTTCTAAAAAACCACACAAGGCAGGTTTGGGATGGCATATGGGGATGTAGGGAATAAGCGAAAACTCCCCAAAAACAGAAGGTATCAATCAGCATAGTGCTGAAATGTCTCTGCCCAGACATCTACATTTATGACTGTAACAAATCCACACACTCAACCACTGTGGACGTTTCAGATCTACTCATCCAGTAAATGCATGATCCTGTCAATCATTTGGTGCCATTCTCTTCAGTTATAGTTCAATTCAATTTTTCCCTTTCAGAAAGCATGGTTATATATATTCAACCAAAATATTATTCTTTCTACCTACCCAAAAATTAATAATAATTAAAAAGCAGAAATATTAGAATATGCAGACAAGCAGATCTTCTCAAGAGAAAATGGCATGGGGAAAAAGCACTATGCTAGGATGATGCTTTATGTCAAATGTAGAATTCAGCTATTAACATTAATATTGAGGCATTAATATCATCAGCCAACATCCCTCAAGACATGTTACAACCTGGAAGATGAATAAATGACCACACTGCTGCTGCTCAGTGAGGGACAGGGTTCCTTTGCTTCGACCACCCTTCAAGTCCACACTTCTTGTAGCAACTTGCCAGGCATTCTTAGGGAGACTTCCTTCAATGTATGAGAACCCAGGCTTTGGTATAAAATCATAACTTTTAGATTCATTATGGGATTAATATTAGCAGAATTTTATTCAGACTACAATGGGTGTCTTTGGAGCTCCCCAAAGATACCCAACAGTAGTTTTAGAGCAAGGCACAATCATTTGAGATCCACGACTTACCAACTAGCATCTCAAAGAGAAAAACTCCTACAGACCACCAGTCACATTCCCGTCCGTAATAACCATCGCCCCCTTGTGATTTCAGTACTTCAGGTGATATGTAATCCGGTGTCCCAACCGCTGTGTCACAACGCACCATTCCTGTCTATATAGCCATATAAAGGACAGCAATTAAAAGAAGGATCATTAGATTCTAGCAATTGATACTAATTATGTTAGCATATTAACTTTATTTCAAAAATACTATTTCAAACTAAGTAGTTATGAATTTAAATCCACATGTCCATCTCTTACATTAGTGTTGTTCCCCCTAAAGCATTTGTTCATAAGCCTTATGCTTATGAGACCTTCTTAAGGAAACTGAAGGAGTTAATTTTTCAGCCAGACAAAGTAAACAAAAGCCTAGAATGTATGCTATGTCCGATTTGTGGGCCACTGAATCTACTGGAAATGTCTCCAATAAACTGCAAGCAAGATTTGGACTGAGGCCTAAAATAGCAGAAGACAATATATAGACACACCTCTCTGTAACTGACTGTGGTTGCTTTTTCTATACTTCGAAGAAACAGATCTTAGAAGCATACAAACTGAAATGATGAATTATATATAGAACCAATAGTATGACTTTATGTATGTCTTAATTCTTTGGTGTCTCTGTTAAATGCTATGGCACTGCAGTGCCTAAGAGTCTGAGGTGTGCCCCAGTAATCTCAGGTTCAGTTCTTAACACTACCATCAAAGCAGTATCAACAGAGTATCAACTGTCAAACCATTATTTCTCAACTTCAGCCTTGAATCTGCAATATAACAGTAATGCAACACTAATCATAACCAAGCCCAATGTCCTATTCAATAATTGCATGTAAAGGTAAAGGTTTCCCTTGACATTTAGTCCAGTCGTGTCCGACTCCAGGGGGCAGTGCTCATCCCCATTTCCAAGCCAAAGAGCCAGCGTTTTGTCCGAAGACAGTTTCCGTGGTCACGTGGCCAGCGCAACTAGACATGGAACACCATTACCTTCCCACCCAGGCGGTACCTATTTATCTACCTGCATTTACATGCTTTTGAACTACTTGGTTGGCAGGAGCTGGGACAAGGTACAGGAGCTCACTCTGCTGCGTGGATTCGATCTTACGACGGCTGGTTTTCCGACCTTGCAGCACAGAGGCTTCTGTGGTTTAAACCACAGCGCCACCACGTCCCTGGGTAATTGCATGTACCCAGCTACAATTAATGAAGCTGCCACGGCAATTTGACTAGGTGCAGTATTCCCATGCCTCACCGCACAACCTAGTCACACAACCATGTATAACTACGGTAGCCTGGGTAATTGCATGTACCCAGCTACAATTCATTGTGACCGCCTAGAGTGGTCACAATTGACTAGATAGGCGGGGTATAAATGAAATAAATAAATAAATAAATAAATGAAGCTGCCGCAGCAATTTGACTAGGTGCAGTATTTCCATGCCTCACTGCACAACCCAGTCACACGACCATGTATAACTACAGCAGTTCATTAGGTCACTATGGCAGCTTCCACATTTGGAGCTCCACTGGTATAAATATTGAACAGGATACTGACCAGAACGTTTAATTCACAGGCAGGAATTCATGCAGAAAGTCTACAGTCAGGTACAAACAGCAAGTTATATAGTACTCCTTGGTTTCACATTATAGTTCAGATGTCATGCTAACATGCAACTTAGCACTACATTAGCAAGCCTATTCAAGCCATGGGTTCGGGTACTTCCTCCTTTCCTAGCACATCTCAGGAAGAGAATAAGTTTAAACTAATCACAATCTGTTGTTAGGATCAAATGAGAAACTGTAGTCAATGAATGATTATTTGGAAAAAGCCAAGATGAAAATTTATCATGGTTTGATGTGGGCTTGTTCAAATAAACATAGTTTAAAGTAATCATAGGATGTATCAATATGCAATGGCTGATCATTAAGGCAGCAAGCCTCTGCCAAGTCTCAGAATGACATCTCACTTATCTCTTACTACAAGTAGAAAATTGGAAAAAGACGCTTCCACTTTTAACCACCCATAATTTACGCTGCTGTCAGAACCTAAACAAAATGTGGCTAGTGTAAACCATGGTTTACTGAAACAAGTAAATTTCAATTGTTAATTCAACTATGATTTCCTTAATCAGGTAAGCTTCAAACCTTTGTTTAAAAGTGGATTTTTTCAGAAAGTCAAGATTACCTTTATGACAGTGGAGCAAAGCTAAGTTTCTGAACATATCAGAGTGGAGACGCCCACCTGACACTTCAGCTAAGGACTGGATGATATCATGACTATGACCATACATGGTGACATCTGATGCAGCTGGCTATAGTCCGCAAAAGCTAATGCCAAATAAAATTGTTAGGCTTCAAGATGCTAAAAGACTCTTTGTTCTGTTAACTGCAACAGACTAACATGGTCATTTTTAAATTGGAGTTTCTGTCAAATATGCTGGTTGCATTTTCCTAGTTGATGGACACCTAACTGTGTTGTCTGCCAAGGAAACACATGTATTAAGGATACAAATACTGAAAATATACATGACACTATAAAAATAATGAACAGTGGTCAGCATTCCATTGCTTATTTATTTGTCTGTCTGTCTGTTTGTTTACTCACTTATTTGATTTTTATACACTCTGGATGGTTTACAAGGTAAAGAATAATAACATTTGTCTGTCTGTCTGTCTGTCTGTCTGTCTGTTTGTTTACTTACTTACTTATTTGATTTTTATACACTGGGTGGTTTACAAGGTAAAGTATAATAACGACAGAATAAACAAAAGCATACAACAGTTACCAAATAAAATGTAAGAAATGCAAAACAAATAACAATGAAGTACACCGTAAAACATCATGAGACAAAATAAAATGAAAATAAACTAAAGTAAGAATAAAAACACAGTGGTAGGTTGGATGTTAAGACATTGAGGTACTATTATATCATCCTGTTATAAGATCCGAGAAAGCCTGTCCAAATAGCCATGTTTTAAATACCTTTTAAAAAGTTCCCAATGAGGGGACCATGCAGATTTTGGGCGGGAGACTGTTCCATAGTTGCAGGGCAACTGCTGAGAAGGCCCGGTTTCTGCTTGTCACTTTTCAGGCCTCTCTTGGGATCAGAACTCTCAACCGCCCTGCCTGTGACGATCTTACAGCTTATGTAAGTCGACCATAATTGTGACAGCACAAACCACAGCAGGTAACTACTGCAAATTAAGAACTGACATTTGTATTCCTCCTCATGCACCAGTTGCTGGATTTGGTGAGTGCCAAAGAATATAAGCATCAATCCTTAATTCAATGGTTATTCATTGATGTGATTCACACCGCTGTGTTTACTCCATTTATGTAAGTAACAGGATTCTAGCCACCAAGAAGTATGTTTTATGGAGAACCATCTCATCAAGAGCACTATTTCCAATTTTGATAGTCCTTTGTTGTTCCGGAAAAGTACATATAATCTAGAGGTGTTTCCAATTTTTAATATTAGAGTGTTGAATTCTACATAAAAGGCTGGATTCATATTTTAATAGTTTTCCTCTAAAATACAAATAAGAAATTAATATGACACTAAAACTGTGTGTATAAATAAAATTCCTCATATTTAATTCAGTAAAAACATGGATCCAACCCCCGACCCCAAAAGCTTTAACTTGGTTAGTGGCTGAGCTGCTCTTTGGAGACAGTGCCTGCAGGCAGACTGAGAGCCAAAAGTGGGATGGGCATGGATGGGCACATTTTGCCTCCCGCCCCCCACAGACCTGAGCATCATATCTCTTGCCCTGCTAAAACAGCTGCTCAGTGGGAATGGGGCAGTGTACACGAGGGTGGTACATCAGGACAGCAACAACCATACACTTGGCTCTCCCTCTTGCCAAAAAGCTGTCTGGTTACATGCGGAGGAAACTACTGTGCAGGAAAGGATTTCAGGTAGAGTACTACCCGGTGATCTCTGTGATTAGCTACCTTGGTGGTTCAAACCCCCCCCCCCAAATTATCTTTGGCACATCAGGTACTCTTTGCAGGAAATTGAGGGGGGTGGGAGTTGCCTGTATAAGCAGGAGACAAAGGGCTCACTGTCTTTCCATCAGGTCTGTGAGTCTGTACAGTTGACTGATCACATATTCAACTACACAATAAGGGGTGGCAGAAGGTAGACAAAGCCAGGATATGTACAAGAAAAGAAGAAATGCCCTGAGATATAGGTCACCTGATATTTAACCTAATTTTACCAGGTCAATTGGAATTGTTTAATGAAAACCCTGGATTTACTTTTATTCAGAAGAAATGGCTTGCTGACTATTTTCAAGATTTTGCACAAGCATTTATGAAAGCCCTGCTACAGAAATTTATTTAAGGCAGCCAATGGCTTGAAAACATCACCTGTGACAACAGTGGAACAACAAAAGTACCATGCAATTATGATTCCAGGGAATGATTTCAGCACCTGAATTGACTGTGTTTCAACACAAGGGTAACGAAGAAGACTTTCAAACCACTTGGTCTTGTTTTGAAGACTTATTCGCTTTGTGAGAATGTAGTTATTGCAGACTGTTTTCATTTTACTTTTTCATATACTACACGCTATATATTACATGAGACATTATATTAGATAGTAAGACCAGGATCCAAAGGTATATTACCACTGGATTCAACGACTGCATCCAGGATCAGCAGTCCTCACTGCTTCTTTTCGGCCGCCACTAAACACCATAAAAACCTATTAAAACCTCTGTAGCAGGTTCTTGGCACTATGGAGGACCATAAATGGAAAAGGGGAGACAGTTCAAGTTCCGTTGGTACTCAATACTGAAATACACTTGGAGTTTGGGCTACACTTGCTTTGTTGCTTATATTTTGTCACCTGAGCAGAATCTTCCTATTCTGTGTCCTCTGAAACAAAAGTCCATTGTACCAGGCACGAGAACCTTCCAAACCTTCTGCAAGGAGGCATTCAGCACCTCCTTGTATAAGTGCAAGCACTGCCCATTTAAACAGGGTGACCTCTGGCTCATGCAAATACAACCCCAAAATCACATGGATGGCTATGCCCCTGAAGCATTAAACTTCATGATTCCAAAGAGCATTCTTATCCTTATATTTATTAATGTAGTACAGTAAACGTGATGTATTTTCCCCTTTCTTTTTCTGTTTTATTTCCAAGTTTTATTTTAAAAATGGTTGAGAGAAAAGACCAGGAAGTAACACGTGGCATGGTCCTTTAGCTACAAGCTGAGTAGGAATGGCCTGTGAACTGGCTGAACTGAAGACTAAGTAACACGTGGCATGGTCCTTTAGCTACAGCCTGTGAACTGGCTGAATTGAAGACTTCCTTGAAAATATATGTAAAGCACTCCTACCTCTTCTGTAGAAAAAAAACAGGATTCAGATTTAAACTAGCTTTAGATGCTGTGTACCCATGTCAACATACAACTTACTTTTGAGACAGTAATTGAAGGACTATATTAAAAGAACAACTGTAGTGCAGCAGTGATCCTGCACAACATATACTTATAAATGTACTGAAATCACCAGTGGTGACACAGTGCACAGCTCCAAATGCAAAATGATTACTTAATTTACATGGTATAACAAAAGCCAAAAAAAGTATTGTGGCATCTTGAAAACTAACAAATTTACATCAAGGTGAGCTTTGGCAGATCACAGTCGATTTCCTCAGACACAAATCTCCATCTGGATTCATAGTACTGTACAACCCTTCACCACATTTTCAACATTAACATGGTTTATGAACAATGTACAGTGGTGCCTCGCTTAGCAATTACTTCGTTTAACGATGAAATCGCTTAGCGATGACTTTTTCAGAGCGATCTTGCGCTCCGTTTAACAATGGTTCCTATGGCCGATTTTTGCATAGCGATGTTTGGGACCATGCTTCGCATAGCAATGACAGTTTGGGTCCCCCTGTTTCGCTTAACGATGGTTTTGACAGCCTCATGTTGGCTGTTTTTTAAATGTTTAAAAATGTTTAAAAAATGCTTAGAATGCGTAAAATCATAAGTGCACTTGATAAACCCTTTGTCAAACTAATTTGACTTTGTTCTGACTCTTTTTAAATTTAAAATTTAAATTTTTCCCCCATTGAGATGCACTGAATAGGTTTCAATGCATTTCAATTGGGGAACTGTGTTTCGCTTAGCGATGTTTCCTATGGCGATTTTTGCTTAAGGACGGCAATCCGTTCCCATTGGAACGGATTATCCGGTTTTCAATGCATTTCTATGGGAAATGGTGTTTCGCTTAGCGATGAAATCGCTTAACAGGAATTTTATGGGAACCAATTATCATCGTTAAGCGAGGCACCACTGTATATGCAATGCATGCAAGCAATTAGTCATCTGCCCGCTAGTAAGATATTCTTTTTTCATGTCTATTGGCTTAAATGATGATATTAAACATTTTAAATAAATTAATAGGTATATCAGTTATGAAACACTGTAATATTCCATATGCTTAACTGCATTTTCTTCATAGAATAGGTTCAACACTTGCAAATACATATATTTTTGTCTGAATACCCCCACCACCCACAAAGCTTTTTATGAATGCATGCTGGTCTCCAGTTAAAGAATCAGATCAATCTTGTAGTTGCCTTACATGGGTCTTAGCATTCTTCTAGGAAAAGAAGGCAACAACAGACAGTGAGGTCTATTCAGCCATTAAAGACTCCAACAGAGATAACACCCAGTATATTTTATCAAAATAAGTGCAAAATAACCCTTGTGGTGTGTTACAGGCCTATTCTTATGCCACTTCTAAGTACTGTACAATAGCAGTTGTAATCACCAAGGATATTACTGAAATATTTCCCTAATGTAGAACAGAAACAGTTCAAAATGGGAATGACCATGCTATTCTGTTAAGTGTACAGAATTATACCTGACTGGCATCAATCCGAACACAGTAGAGTATAAAAGTAACATGATGTATTTTAGAATCATTGTAATTACAAAATGGAAGCCTTCTTTTATTCCATAAGAATTATGAAGTTCCAAAAGAATTATGGAGTAAACCATTAATAGCTTCTTACTGATTATTTGATCTAATTTCTAAATAAATTATCTGAAGACCACTAGGGGATGCTGTGAGTGTGCTTATAAAATAGTAAATACATGCTATCTTTTTCATTAACAATAATTAATGCCAGACAGAGTTATTTATCCTAAACATGTTTACTTGGAAGGTCTGTTTCACTATGAAAAGTCACATGTCCAAGCAAAAAGCTGTTAAAAATTGAAGAGTAAACAGATTTTATATAACAAAAGGTATTTTCCATTTTGCCAGATAAAGAGTCTCAGCTACTGATAAACTTTCTGTCATTACCAGTAGCAACAGCTTCACTCAGTCAATTTTGTTGATATGAAACCAATAATATTTAACTAAATGAACGTTTTTCCCAAATTTTCAGGCAGGACTCTTATTTTTAGCCTTTTCTGAACTTGAAACTATTAAAGCACAACTGATTGTATAGAGGTAAAAGATCAACACTTCCTGTACTCCTACTCTATTTTAGAACTTCACATAACCTCTTTAGACTGCCTCCCCCCATCTGTGTTCCTTTGAGGTTCTAGTTTTTAAAATCATTCACTGTAGATGACTGGTAAAACAACTGGAGAAAGAAGAGGAAAAGAGAGGAGGAAAATGTCATTCTGCCACATGCAAAATTAGAATATTCATGATGGTGTCCAACTTTCAATAATCAAGAAACAACAAGAAAAAACATTATCACCCAGGAGCAAAAACCTGATGAAACAACCAGGAAGCAGGTGCCAGAGTCACACATCACACAAGGAGGAGGAGGAGGTACCACTACCTCTAGTGGTAGCAGTCATTACCCTTACAACAATTATCCTTGCCACAATTGCATAGTCAATATCAAGTCAATGTTCCATATACTGCAACAAAGGCTGAGCCACAGTGACATGCAGGACAGTGGGTTTATGGTGAGAACTGAACTGGAGACTTCCACAGTAAATTATCTTGGCCACTCTATTAGGGCCATTATTAAATACCATACAGTTCAAATCATCTTTTTTGACAGTATTTAAATAAAATATTGTTTGAGGCTTTCTACACTGTTCATATTATTTTAGAAACACACTGAATGAATCAGATACTTACTTCATCCATTTTCATACAAGTACCAAAATCTGCTAGCTTCAGATGTCCATATTTATCCAAAAGCATGTTGTCAGGTTTCACGTCTCTGTGTATCAAGCCCATGGAATGAATTGCATCAAGAGCAAGGACAACTTCAGCTGTGTAAAATTTGGCCCACTTTTCAGGCACATCGTAATTGCTCATGAGGTTGACAAGATCTCCACCTGGCATGTATTCCATTACCATGTATAGGTATCGGTCATCTTGAAAGGCACTAAAAAGCTGCACGCAAAGGGAAGGGCAGTTTAAAAACAGACAAAACATTAGATTTCACACACACCCACTGAGCCTATGTACACCTGAAGCACCTGAACATACTTATTCTGCTTCTGCCTTTCACTAAAAAAATTGAAATGATACAGGAATAATTATGAGTTCCAGTTTGATTAAACAACAGAGATGGGCACGAACACTGGTTCAGCAGTTTGTTGTGGTTCATTTCAGTTTATATCTGTGAAGATTTTCCATAATGGGTTTGTATCTGTGAAGATTCTAACAGATATGTGAGAAGGACTGCAGAAGTGGGATTATCCTTCACCCCCAGTCCTTTGTCCTTCTAGCAAACCTATTCAGACCAGGAGGAAGTGAAACCAATGTGGAGGATATATCAGGGGTCTCCTACCGTACCAACTCTCTTCAGACTGAAGAAGCTATTGAGTAGCAAAATGTTTCAACCTAAGAAGAAAGAAGTCCAGTTGCCATGACTCAACGTCCGATTCATTTTTGGTTTGTTTGCCGACTCCACAACTGATCTGTGGTTTGGTGCCCTGCCACTTCCTGCAGGGGTGCACTTGGAGGCAGCGCCCTGGCTTCCCTACCCCACTTCCTCCAGGCATTGCCTTTGAGTGGCTGCCTGCCAGAGGGGGCAGGGCACTGAACTGCAGCTGTGCAGCCAGTAAACGAAGTGAGCCAAAACACCAAACTGGTGGTTCATGCCAATCTCTAGTTTACCAATCATTCTTCCAAAACATTTTATGACATTAAATATTTCAGTAAGAAACACAGTCATGAAACAATCAAGTCTCTTCTCTCTTTTTTTGTATCAGCAGCTATGACTAAGGACATACACAATAAAAAAAGTTTGATACAGTATTTGTTTAATTTTGGGTTCTTGGAGGGAGGAAGCTCTTTGTGTGTGTGTGTGCGCGCGCGCGTGTGCGCACTAGTTCATTCCTTTAATATAAAAAGGAAAGCCTCTTTTGGGTTTTCCATTTGTGTTTCCTTGAATTCCAAAAGAATTCTTAAAAACTGTTCCAGAAAAGCAGAGGCAAGACAACACAAAATCAATCTACTCCAAAAGCAGGCAACAATAAATGAGAAAAACATCCAAAAATGTAATCCCAAAGGGAAGTGCTGGCAGGAGCAAAATTAATTTAAAGAAATGGGCAAGGGGAAATTCCCTTTCAAATTAAGAAAAAATGGGGGAAATGATTCAGGAAGGGGGCACTGAAGGCAGATCGCAATCCAAGATAGAGGCTGCCACACAGAAATTCATCCCCCATGAAGCAACTAAAGCAAAGAGCACTCACTCCTAAATAGTTCCCACTAGGCCCCTTTACAGATTCAAAATTTCCCTTCCACCCAGATATTCTTCTTATGGGCTGCTAACAGCCCTTGTGACCATTACTGGATTTTAAAAAATCAGATCATTTGACAGGTAAAACGGGTGAAGGAAAAGGGACCAAAAGGTTACACAAAAGAGGGAATATGAAACGAACAAACTGTCTGTGTACTTCTCTTTCCTCAACTCATATGTCAGAGTGGCTCTCTCTCAGCAATTTCTGACAGAACACAAAATATGCACACACACAAAGAGCCACTCTGACATATGAATGTGAGGCATATTATGTTAGGACTAGTAACAAGTTAACACAAAAGTTTCTACAGAGGTGTATGCTTTCTTTAACTGTAGCACAAATATTATTTAACTTCTTGCCACTGCTACTCTTTCCTATTCTTTACTCTACATTGGCAAATGGAACACACAATCTACATAGCAGGATCGTAAATTCATCATGCCACCACCAAATTGCTACAGAATCATGACTGCAGGAATGTTTATAAATGGCTTAATCACTATATGATGAATATTTGTCTTCACAGAAATAAAACACATTTATAGTAATGAATATATTTAAGATCATGCAGTTACTGTACACCTGAAAGAGGCAAATACAATTTCATCTTTAGATGGAGAAAGGAAAGTCAAAATAATGAAGCTCAAGATTAAAATCCGTAAATACAAGGTTTGCAAATGCTATTCCTCTACCAATATACAGCTTCAACATTCATCCATAAACCGTTTTAAAGCAACACATAATTTTATGTATGCACATTGTTCTTACCTGAACCACCCATGGGCTGTTGGCAAAGGCCATTATATCTCTCTCCTCCCAAAAAAAGGCTGAGTCTGACCTTTTGAGCATTTCAAATTTGCTAAGCAGCTTCATGGCATAAGCCTTCTGTGTTATTTTATGGCGGACCTGTTGATGAAAAATTTTTATCAGCTACTTTCTTGAGTAATATCTCACAAAAAGGGGTTTAATGAAGTCCTTTGCATTTTGCCTTTAGAACTCAGTAAGGAGAGACATGTGCAATTTTACTTTAGTCAATAACAAATGTGACAGCATACCCTCATCCTCATACTTATCTTAATGCAGAGTGGCAGGCCTCTGGTCCAACTCTGGTGAGTAGTAGGCATGTGATCTTTTTTGTTTGGACTCTACATCCCAGAATTCTTCATTCTGGGAGTTCCACCTGCCAGACAAAATCCTAGATTGTGCTCATCTGGAGGAAACCTGCGCTGGGCGGCCTCATGGATCAGAGCAGGCTGAGCTCAGAACTAGTTTGCGGTTAGAAACGGAAGCTACCCCTGATGTTAGCTTCTTTTTCCAACAGGGAAGTATGGCTGAGCCCTGACTATTCTGGGCCACAAGGCCTTCCAGCCCAGTCTTCCTCGAGATGGACACAATGTTGTGAAGAAAAGCTGCTAACTCATTATCCCCTCATTCAAATTACTACCAAGGAATGTTATTGAAATCTTCACGAAATGGCACTAACAAGAATTATGTAATAAGCCAAAAACATTTTATTCTAATTAATCAGACATAAGTGAACACCTACCCCAGAGCAAACACATATTCAGATCATAATCCTGTTGTCATTATAGTTTGCCTCAAATTAAAAACAAAACAAAACAAACAGAAAAAGCATAGACATTAAACCACCAAGTGATTGAACTGTATGGGCTATTTTTAAGGAGTTGTTCACTAAGGCATTAAAAACACTACACACTGAAGCAGCTCATACATGAATGCTACTTGCTCTAAACTCAGAGTGGCATTAGTAGATGTGACCACCAAAAATATCAAACATAGAAGCGATAATGAAATGTAGATGACAGGAGAAATATTAGAGCTAACAGAAGAGAGAGGATGTGGAACAATACAGATGACATCAACTACAGTGAATTTTGCAAGAATATCTAAAACAAAAATAGGGAAGGAAAAGAAAAATTAATAATATACAGAATATACAAAACCCAAAAAATTTAACAAGATCAGTGACTCTTTTAATGTGCACAACTAGCGGGTTAATAGGCATATTTTTCAAAATGGCAATATCTACTACTAATGGATAGTAACACTGCTTGGATACTAGACATCAAGGATAAAATCATATGGTAGAAGAGTACCTTGAAGAGGGAGGTGGTTTGAAGACAACAAATAGGCAGAATTTATTGTATCAAAGATATATTTTAATTAACTACTTGCTGTCAAGTTAATTCTGACTTATGGCAACCCTTTCCATGGTTCTATATGTACAGAGTACTCTGAAGTAGTTTATCATTCTCTTCTTCCCAAGGCTACACAGAAATGGTTCTTCTCTCAGAAGACACGGTAGAAAATCAGACTCCAAACTACTACCAAACCCAGATATTTAACTCACTGAAATATTCAGGCATCTACCAAAGGTAGACACTAGAACAAAAATAGAGAAATTTGAAATGCAATATGCTAACAAAAAAAATGGCAACATTCCTGACTGAATATTTTTGCAGAAGTATCAACAACGACCAAGAAGGACAACTTAGATGTTTTAGTAAATCTTTTCAATCAAAACAGCACAGAAATCATTCCTGAAATTTAGCACAGATTGACCTTTATTCCATTCCTCAACAAGAAAATACAAAAACTTGTAGTGACAGAAGACCAGTGATTTTAATGAGCTATGTGCTTAAGTTTTTTAAAAAAAATATAATACATAGCAGAATTTTTCAGACATGGGAAGAAAGGATAGGAAAAATACCATTTAGACTCAGAGGATGATTTGGAACCAGGAAAGTATTAATCTGCCTAACTGTACATTGGTAGACAGGTTGTGACATCAATATGGATACCTATGTTAGCTTTACGGACTATGAGAAAATTTATGCCTAAGTCCCAAAGAGAAAACTGATGAAGTAAACAAAGGCCTTGATTCAACTGGCAACCTGTACTGGCAACAAACCGGTGAAAGCTGACCACTATATAGCAAGGAATGTAGACGTACAAAGAGAAGTATGACAAGGATGTGTATTTTTGACACCCTTTTTCAATGTAACACCAAGAAAATCTTCAGAGATTTGATTCAGCTGATGGTATAGATAGCAATGGAGAGGCTATCCACCACATAAGTTATGCATGTATTACAGTAATACTAGCTGACAACTTAGTAGGGCCTCGAAAGGTTACTCAATAAAGTCAGAGAAATAAGTAATGAATATGGTGTAATAAAGAATTTTAAGAAAAACAAGTTCATGGTTACCAGTAAAGAGCAAAAAATTTAAGAAATACAACTAAAATCTGAAATAATATTGCATAGTGTGCTAAGAAATGTAAGTTCCTTAAAATCTGGTTGAATGAACTGTAATATCGTTGTTTACAATGGAAGTCAGAACAGAGAAGGCCTAAAGTTGCTTTGGTGAAAAATAAAATGAAACATGTAAAGAAACCTTTAAAAATGGCTTGGAGAATGTGGATTGTGCAATGCTATGTTCTCCTGCTTCCACCAAATGACATGGAATGGTGGACACAAGCCAGAAGAAAAAAGACAGATGCATCAGAAATAAGGATTTATAAGTGGATGCTTGAAATTCTTAGATCAATGAGATGACCAAAGTAAAATAAAGGTAAAAAATAGTGCAGAAAAGAAAAAAGCTTGCAGGTATTTGCTAAGGAGCCTTGAGGGCTTATTCAGATACAGCACTGCATCACTGTTTAGAGCTGCCACATCCAAAGGCAAAATAGCCATCAAGATATCTAACCTCAGATAGAAAAAGAAGAAGAAATCTACCACTGTTGTGAAAGGATTCTTCACCAAATGCCTCTTTTAAAAACAGCTTAAGCAAGAAGAGGCTCGCGCACTCCACGAGAGTTTCTGGACACAGATTCGGAGAACAAGTAACAATTGTACCTAGAACCTTAATGAAGAGCTTGGCTCTTTTAAGCTTACTGACACATTTAACTTCAAAGGTTTAAATGATTAATCCACTGAATTCTGCTGAGCAGGACTCTTAACACGACGGTCCTCAAAATTTAGTCTTTCACATGTTTTCATCTTCCAGAAGCCCGAGCCAACATGGCTAATAGAAAGGATCTGGGGAGTGCAGGTCCAAAATGTACAGACTACCAGAGGCTGAAAACCACAATTTTGCAGGATGAAACAGCATCTAATAGTTAGGGATGGGTATTTTTTTTTTTTTGAATTACAGCGCCCAGAAATCTATAATACCCCTAACACTTTGCAGTGCCACAGTGCTTAGCTCCACCCAGCAGTCCCTCTGTGTTGGAACAACAACAGAAATGGAGGAATTTTCTCTCATTTACGTACCAGCTGCAAGTTACATTAAATACCTAAGTGAAATGGGCAGGTGGGGGGGGGATGTGTCACTGTGAACCACCTCCCTCCACTACAACAGTCAAACTGGGTGTCCAGCTGGCTTTTCAGAAGACCAATCTAGATCTTTTTCAAACTGCACCTGGTCCTTTAAAAGCAAAATTACTCCAAAGCAAAGATCTCATTGGTTGTCCTCATTCAATCAATAATGTACTGGCAGAAATAAAGGTCAGGAAATATTCAATACTCATCCTTTCTGTGACTCCCCTTTTTCACTTCCTCTGGCTCCTTATACTCTCACCTCTCTTACTCTTTGTCTCCCTGTAGCTTCTCTCTCACTGTCTCTGCCTCCTCTCTCTCTCTCTCCTTAGCCTATGAACGGTGTGTATATTTATTTGTTCAGACACTTATGCCTATGATAAGGCTGACATTCCACATCACAATGTTGTCTAGTAGCAAGCCCCATTCACTTCAATGAGACTCATTCATTTCCTGAGGCACCATTAAGACGTTTGGGAAACGGCAACAGAATACTTCAGAGGCCATGCGTAGCCAGAATTTATGAATTTTTTTCTTATATAAAATAATAATATTTAGGGTCCTGTATTTTCTAAATGACAAGATGGATCAAATTCAAATTAAGAAAAGTTTATAAAAAGAATCATTTTCTTTTAAGGAAGCAATGTTTAGCATTTGAAAAATAACTATCAAACTCACTACAAGCAGCCAACAAAATGGTAGCAAAACTAAGGTTAAAAAAAGAGCAGGAAAGGTTTTTTTTCCTGTTCTTATCTTGGATTTCTGTTCTCAAGTAGAAGCAAAATTTAGCAAATGGAGCTGTTCTTAAGTTGGATTGTTCTTAAGTAGGGACGTTCTTAAGTAGAGACCCCACTGTACAAGCAGCCAAGAAAATGGTAGCAAAATGTGTAAACAGGGGAGATAGTAGGAATGGTTTTTGAAATCAGAAATTAAATCTTTAAAAGTACTTGCCCAAACTTCTCTAAATCTGGCACAATCTTAGAATGACAGAGCTGGAAGGGACCCTGTGGATCATAGAGTCCAGATCCTGTCAAGGAGGCACCGAGGAGGAACCGAACTCCCAACATCTGGTTCCACAGCGAAATACCTAAACCACTGAGCTATTCAACAGAGCAAGCCCATAATGCATTACTTTGCCAAATACAGTCCTGATTCAGAAACACTTTCAAAACAAGTCACATTTTGTTTGGACTGACCCCGCCTAACAGAAATGGCTTACAGGATGTTGTTCTGACTGGTCACACAATATCGAAATTGAAGTCCTGCGCAATTTTAATGCAGACATAAGGACCTTGCTTTTTTATCAGCAGGAGAGAAAGGAAGATTGTATAATTGAAGAAGTGTCCACCATGCATGCCCATTCAAATACTTTTATTTGGAAGAAGAAACATGAGAAGCTAAGGTGAAGCAGACTAGACAAATAAGGAAATGAACTGTGTTCCATAAATTTTTCCCCTCCCTCTACCCATACAATCTTTTACTTCCAGCAACCCTTCCTCTGACAAATTACTGGGCAATCTTGTTTTGGGGGGTATGTGCGGGAATTTCACATGACGTTGCTATTCCAAGAATTAATTCAGCACTTGGCCTCCATCTGGTTCACTGACACGTTAAAAATGGAAATTCAAAGCTTATAGCTTTGTACGGCCTTTCTTGTTCCCATAGATTTAACACCTGGATAGCTGTACTTCAGTATCTACAAGTTCTTCCCCATTATGTCTTAAACCAGCATGCAGACTAATTGCTTTAACATTGACCCTTCTCTTCCCTATCTATTTTTGGTGACCTCCATGCATGACAAACAGATCATTTTTTATCTCAAAAGCTGGCAGAGAGAATTCAGTGTATTTTTAGTTAGACTAAAAAACTACTGCACCATCCCAAATAGCGGTGTTATGGATTCAGGAGTTTCTAAATAGCAGAGACTACGACACCATCTGCTATCCCAATCCTCCCTGCTCCCTTTTGAGCTTAGCTGTAACCCTTACACATCTGGGAGAGAAATATTGTTGCACATTGTGATACAACATTTTTGAGGGTGGATTCAGCTTGAATTTACAGTCAAGAACCATTAACTTCACAGAGATGGATCCAAATTAATTTGGACCCCTTCATATGAAGTAAACCGTGCAGCACCACTGATGCCATGTATGCCCTCTCCCCACCTCCCGGGCAGGTTGGCCCACTCACATTTCATCATGCCAGGTTCCTTCTTCTCCAGTGGCACTCCAATTTGGGCAGGAGCTCAGGCTGCCTGTCCCCACCTCCTCTGGCAGCTGACCACTTTGACAAGGAAGCAGGACGGGGATTCTCCTCACACAGCCAAGGAGTGGTCAGCTGACAGAGGAGGCAGGGACACTAGGAGAGAAGAAGGACTCCAGTGGCATACGATAAAATGTGAGTGGGGCAGTGGCCTAGAGGGTGAGGAAAGGGTATGCACGCCACCTGTGGCGCTGCATGGTTTACTTCATACAAAAGACATGCTCATTTCTTTATATGGACAGACCCAGGATTTCTGATTCTCCAGAGTGGGAGTCTGCTATGCTGATTGTCATAAGAAGCATCTGTACTTCCAAATTTACCCCCTCACCACTGATCAGAAAATGAAGTTTGGATTTTACTTTATGGCCAATGCTGCTTCCCTAACACTTTTATATGTTCAACTCTAGTACAGTTTTCTGTATTTTTGTTGTCTATGCGTTTTTATGACAGGAAAATATATTTTGTATAAAAGGTGTTTCTGATTGATTAAGCAATTTTTCCCTTTTAAGAAATATTTATGAATTTGTACACTATATAATTTTATTACAAAAATCCCAAAGTAACTTAAAAGACACCACTTACATTACCAGAACAATTAAATTAAAATCAAAACAAATTAAAAACAATGTTGTTACATACTGACAAGGTGGAACCAAATTCATAGCTACTCTAATAGGGCTTTCAAGGTAAGTGAGATGTTTAAGAAGTGTTTTTACCAGTTCCATACCTTAGTAAGTTTCCATGATCAGGCAGGAAGCTGAACCCTAGTCTCTTTGAGCACCAGTTTATATACTCTATCTACTGGACCACATTGGGTACCTCATTAAAAGCACAGTAACATTTAAATCACGAGATAACATAAAAAACCCATATATTAGAATTGCAAGGATTTTAAGGAGAAAAAAAATCCTTGCTCTATGTGGGGATACTTATGGAGAATGTGCAGGTATCATAGAAAAGATCAAAATGAACGTCTCCCCTTCTCAGAACTACATAACATTTTATTCATTTTATAATTAAACACATCTAATCTTTTTGCTATTGGGCTCCCTCATCAAGTCAGCTAGGAGTTGGGCTTCATGCAAGCGTTGATGAAGTAGGATAAAAAAAGTTCAGTCATTTGACCACCGAAAGTCTAGAAAAATGAGAACTGAGACCAATAAAAGCCAGGGTCTGTGCACAAAACTAGGCTACATATTATATGCCAACTGATACTGAATAAAACTGCTTCTAAATTCTGCATTCAAAAGAAAGCTTGACCCAATTGTTGCCAAAGACATTTTAGAAAAACTGTATCTGTGCTTATTTAAAAAAATATTTAAAAAGTATAGGTGACTACAAATTCTTACCAGCTGTACTTCACCAAATGCTCCTCTTCCAATCACTTTAACGACATCATAATCATCTGCTTTCATTTGAAGAGCACGGATTTTTTCCACTACTTTTTCATCTGTACAATTTTAAGGGAAGTCATTATAATCCATGAAGAAAAAGTCATTTGTTAGTCATGATTTCAAAACAAGTAACATTTCCACAAAAACTGTACATTTTATCCACTATTACAGAAACTGCAGGCTAAAATTAGAAGCACAGGCCACTAAAAAAGTCTTAAATATATGTTAATCAATGTGTTATCTCTAAGGTGCAGTTTTGGTTACACTGAGACTGTAGCCAAAATACTAAACTGGTAAATTAAAGCGCCGGGACTACAGTCCAAAGGACATGTAATCCTTTTGTTTTAATATTTCTGTCACAGTTTACAAAAGACAGGGTATAACTGTGTATTTCTGCTGGATCCTCCTGCTTCTGACAGAATCAGCAATTCCTCTTCCCTTCTACAGGCCATTATTCTTTCTAAAAACCTGCTCCAGTGGAAGGAAGTGAAAGAGAAAATTTTGATTCCGCTGGTGCTGGAAGTACACTACAGTGGGGTCTCTACTTAAGAACTTAATCCGTATTGGAAGGTGGTTCTCAAGTTGAAAAGTTCTTATGTTGAATCTGCATTTCCCATAGGAATGCATTGAAAACCATTTAATCCGTATCTGCTCTTTTCTGTCCATAGAAACTACAGTGGAACCTCTACTTAAGAACTTAATCCGTTTTGGAATGGTGTTCTTAAGTTGAAGCAAAATTTCCCATAGGAATGGATTGAAAACCAATTAATCCATTCTGGCTGGTTTTTTGTTATGTAGAGGTGCGTTCGTACATTGAAGCATTAGTTCCCATAGGAACTAATGCAAAGCTGGTTAATACGTACTCTACCACTAGGGGGAGAATTTTTTTTAACCTAAGATGAGCTAAGGTTAAAAAAAGAGCAGGAAAGGTTTTTTTTCCTGTTCTTATCTTGGATTTCTGTTCTCAAGTAGAAGCAAAATTTAGCAAATGGAGCTGTTCTTAAGTTGGATTGTTCTTAAGTAGGGATGTTCTTAAGTAGAGACCCCACTGTACTGGATATAGAAGTTTACCACCAGATCTGGACCACAGAAGACCATGAAATACGACTAAATCACAATGGGGGAAGAGAATACTAAGACTGAACATTACCTATTAAAATAAACTAGGAAAACAAAAATAAACTCTACATGGTGGCGTTTCTTTAGAAGGTCATTATTTCCCAGACTTTTCCTCATCCACTGAATCAGCAAAGGTGTTTCAATATGAGGAGTGGAACTCTAAATAAAATACTGTAATGCTTACACTGAAAAATATATGGTTAGCATTTTGATTCATTATCAAACTGTAGAACCTTGCTTCATATGCAATATTCCAAGTATTATATCCTACAATCAATAAATAATCCATTAGACTTCAGTTGATTGCTACTATTGCATATAAAACCTCATGTTTGGATTATTACTAAATTATTTAAATACTCTTGAAAGATTACAAATATGACTGGTAACCATTTTTTAAATAAATGAAGGTTACATCCATTCAAACAAGTAATAAAAAATAATCAACAATATCAATGGGCAGGTGTTGCAGACAATAAAAACTTACATCTATTTAAGAAGTTGTCTATGTTCTTGTTCTTCCTCAGTGCTGGATAATCCAGATCAAGAACTAAGGAGTTTAAACTATCCTAGAAAAAAATATTTTAAATAAAATATTAATTGTAACTACACATCACATCAATTTAAATGAATATGGCATCATATAATAGCAACAAATAGGACTATAAACGAAACAAGTGTAAAACAATCTGTATTCCAGGGTAGATAAAAATCAATAATTGTTTAAAACCAAATCATGATTTAAATCATGATATAAATAAAAAATTCCGGGATTTAAAAAATTCAAATAATCAAAAAAAAAATCTGATTTTTAAATTTAAATCATGACTTAAATTGTGATTTAAATCAAATCCATCCTGCTGTATTCCAAATACCAATTGTCAGGAGAGGAATCTATTGTCTCCCACTTTACAGAAGTCATATACAGTATAATATTTAAAAATTAATAGTAATAATTACTTATTTTACAATTTTAAGAACAGCAAAGCATAGTGAAACACACACACACACACAGAGGACATTGCAATTATACACATTGATTATATCCAATAAAATGCAAATGGAGTCCACATGTGCAACAGGACTTTCAGTTCATCACCTCCCCCTGCAACCTCCCACACATATAGACTGGTCCAGACAGTTCCCAAACCATCTAGGTCAGATTTTGGAGAACTGCAGAAGGAGAAGGAATTCCCAAGAGAGGAATTCTATATCAGCTACAGCTCTCAAACAATACACAAGGGCAATCCTGCACAAAACACAATGGAAGAATTTGGATGGAAGCTTGCCAATGCAGAAGTAACAATAGTAAGACTTTATATCGAGTAGGTTCAGGACCGGCAAAAGGAAGCAGTATCTACAACACTCAATTTGCATGAAATCCAGTATTACACAAGAATGCTGATTAGTAATAACTCTAACAGATTTTTAAGAATTGGAAAAATTTGGGGAGAACAGATCTACTAACTGCAATAGCTAATTGGAGCCTTTATTTACACAGACAATATAGTTTCAGATTAGAGGTACTGTGTACAGGAACTCATTCCCTTTATGCCTGAGAACTTCTAGTCTAAATGACAAGAGCTGGAAAAGAATAATAGGCATGGCAGCTCTCAGTATTAACTATTCTTACATTCCAGACATTCCAATGTCAGTCATAAACTCAGTGGGGAAGGACAGGAGACTGGCTGTGTCTACTCATTTATCTCCTGGATTCAAGTTCCCAAAGATAGAATGGAGTATTCAGTCTATATACAAAACCTCTTCTACTGCCACTAGGCATACAGTATATATATTGTTCTGATGCTTAAGCAACATAAAGCTGATCAAAGATCCTTTGATGACTTTCCTGTCCTGGAATCTGGGCAAAAATAAAAATTCACACCATTCTCTCAAAGTTCTCCGCACACATTAATCGCATAGTGAAACACAGATTTTACAAAAAACAAAAACAAAAACAAAAAACCGCAAATATTTGGTATCCTGATCATCATTTGCCCTGTCCTCATCTCCCAAAATACCCTTCTTTCTATGCAGGGATGAATTCAATGCATATTTCCACTATAACAGAAGTTTCCATTTATTCCACCTGTCAAATCAATAGCTTTGGGCTATGCACACAAATTAGGGAAAAAAAATATTTTCCATGTTGGCCTACCAATCAGGGCCAACCCACCTTGTGTTCTTTTGGCGGCACTCCAGCCTGACTTTATCTGTGCCTGTGACAGCATTTACATAATCATTTTCAGAATTATTTTTGGCAAAATCTCTTGCCCACCTCCAGCCCAGAGAATATACACACAAAAGACAAAAGAGAAATAGGAGACACACAAAAGAGAAGCAGGAGACAGCTAGTATGAAGTTCAACAATGATGCCAACACACTAACATGAATCTCTATGTTTGGTCACCAGGCGTCCCTATGTTCCCACTTTGAGACTGTTGTATTAGTCTAATCCAGAAGAAACAAGGGGGAAAATGACATTGGCAAGCTTCTCCTTTTCATCAGATAATAGCTGTAGTTGGTACACAAGTCAAAGCTAGAAAAACACCTAGTTTGGCAAACCTTTCTTACAAATCCCAGTTCATAAGGGGTTTCATTAATACTTATCTGCCATTCTAAAATAACTTTTATTATTTTTGAGCTCACTGAAAGGCTGGACCACAATACACTTGTAATAATATCATTTTGTGCACAAGAGGACCCAGAATCACCTATTGCATTATCCTAAAGTCTTTATAAATCTCCAGCTACACAAATGTATGTTTTGGAAGTTTTATGTTTTTCAAGGCTTTGCCTCCCTGCTCAAGTGCTCATTCACACATAACTACTTGGCGAGTATGTTTCCTAGAGCACTGTAAGTAGGGTTGTGCACTGTCTTCAAGAAATAAAATATGGCAATCCCTCTGTTTGACCTGCCAGACATGTTCCCTTCCTCTGTTGTTTCATTTTGCTTCCTGAGATGTAGTTATTCCTATAGTTTCTTTCTATGTTAACACTTTCTGTTCCTTACTGCATCTTGTGGATTTTATTTTATGAATACTTTACTGTTATTACCCACTAAGATTTTTGGGGGGTGGGGTGGGGGTGGGAAGGGACAATAAGTGGGATATAAGTTTTTCAATAAATATGCTGACGAAACTTTTCATAGAAACAAAGCATTTTGAATAGCAAAAGTATTAAATAGTATACAATTAGAGATGGGGATGAATATAAAAACGGATCAGTTTATTCTGACAAATACAGCCGATTTGTCATATATTTGTCAATCCGTATTTGTAAAAATTTTAAATCAGGACAAATATGGCTTGATGAATATTTCCTCGGTTTTATTTGTCAATTCGTTCGTATTTGTCTATATTCGTTACCCCTTTTGGGGGCCTCTCTGAGCTTGCTGGCACCAATTCGAAGCTCTGGCCAATCAGGACAGCCAGCTGAGAAGGATTTGGCAGAGATAATGGTGCGGGAATATCTGGCTGAGTCCCCTCAGCCCCACCAGTCAGATCCCCTCCATTATTGGACTACGAAACTAGTCATATGGCCGGAGTTGTCCAATGTGGCCATGGACCTCCTTTCCGCCACCCCCCACCAGTGTCCAGAGCGAGCACGTGTTTTCCCATCTCGGAGACATACTCCAACCACGCCACTCATGTTTGGATCCTGTTACTGTGGAGAGACTGTCATTCATCAAGGTGAACCTTCCCCTGTTGGGCTTCCCCTCACTGAACGCAAAGAGGTAGAATTCCAATGACAGTCTCTCCCTTAAAACACCACCTGCCTGCCTGTGCCCACTCTCCAGTCTTCCTGAAACCTTAACACACCGCCTGCCTGCCTGCCCACTCTCTAGTCCTCCTGAAAAAAAAAAGATTTGCCTACTTGCCTGCCAGTCTATGAAGCTGCCCCTCAGTCAGAAGTCCAGCTACCGATCCCCGTCGCCTCCTTGGGCCAAGTTTCAACTGTCCGTCCTGCCTGCCGGGTCACGTTGGCCCAGGGGACCAATTTTTGTAGAACTCCTGCCTGCTGCGATTTCCAAGTTTGTTCCACCTTCTACGTCGGCCCAGGGGGCCAATTTTTGTAGAACTCCTGCCTGCTGCAATTTCCAAATTTGTTCCACTTCTGCCTCCCTGACTGCCTGCTGGGTTATGTAGTCCCAGCGGGCTAGGTTTGTTCCACCTTCTGCCTCCCTGACTGACTTCTGGGTTACGTAGCCCCAGCAGGCTAAGAAGTCCAGCTACCGATCCCCGTCGCCTCCTTGGGCCAAGTTTCAACTGTCCGTCCTGCCTGCCGGGTCACGTCGGCCCAGGGGGCCAATTTTTGTAGAACTCCTGCCTGCTGCAATTTCCAAATTTGTTCCACTTCTGCCTCCCTGACTGCCTGCTGGGTTATGTAGTCCTGGCAGGCTAAGTTTTGCAAAACTCCTGCCTGGCATGTGTTAAACCACATCAGCTCTGCAGTCTGAAGCCAGGCGATATAGTGATGGAGTCTTCTTTCCTTTTGCTTCCTTCCTTTTGCCTCTGCCTCTTCCTTTTCCTCTGCCCCCCAAGCCTATCCTGGCATCACTGTGTCAAGAGGGTCGGGCTCTGCCCCACCCAATGCCTATCTGGCCGTCCCATGCCAACATGGCACTCCAAAGTCCACTCGGGCTACTGCCTGAGTAGGTTGGCTGAATCTGGGACAAGCCACAGGAGCTCACGGATGCAAACTGCTGGACTGACCTTACAATCAACAAGCCTAGTGCTCAGTTGTTAAAAGGGGAAAATCAGCCCCTTTTCCCAGGGGGGCCTTAAATTCCCAGATGTTTGGGAACGAGGAGGATCCGTCCCAGCTGAGATCCTGCGTGTCCACTACTCTGCCAAAGGTGGAATGTCTCTCAATAAAGATGATCTCAGCACACGACTGTAAAGGTGAGGAAAAAAGCTGCTGTAGCCCCCAATTCTCTCCTTAGAACATCTGGATCCTACCACCTCCTCCATCTGGTCATTCCAGGGGTGTGGGTGGGGAGATTAAAGCACTCTGTGCATGCTCAAGTAGCAGCCCAATTACAGTACAGTGGACCCTTGACTTACAGACGGCTTGACTTACAGACTTTTTGAGTTACAGACTTCTCTGGCCGCAAAATTTAGGTTTGACTTGCAGACTGAGATTTGACTTACAGACCAGAAAAAAACCAAAATGGAACAAAAACGGCCTGTTACGGGATTAATTGGTTTTCAATGCACTGTAGGTCAATGGAGACTTGACTTACAGACTTTTTGACTTGAGAACCGCCTTCCAATACGGATTAAGTTCTCAAGTCAAGACCCCACTGTACTCATTTGTACAGCGGTAGCTGCTGCCAGGGTCTCCAAACTCTTCAGACAAGAGAGAGAGAGAAAAGGTGGTGGTGCCTGGCATGGGAGGGGAAGGAGAATGAGAACAAGTAAAGGATGCATGGACACTAGGGCGAAGAGAGATGAAACATACCTGTACAAGATTTGGGATGATAGGGACCACTAATTTACAAAAAAGGCTGGTGTTTGAGAACATCTGATAGTCATCAGAGATTGTACAAGTAAGTGTTGAGCAGGGATGGGCAACTTGTGGCCCTGCCTGGACTGCAACTCCCATCGTCCTGAGTCAGCAGTTAGTGGTGAGAGATGATAATAGTTGTCCTCTGAACATCTGAAAAGCCACGAGTTGCCCACCTTGATTGAGAACCATGGTGGTAGCTCTCTCCCTTAATTCGTTTCTTGTCTGCTTTCACAGGCTCGAGCCAAACAACTCTACAACTCTGGATATAAAACTTTAGCACACTTAGCTAATGCAAATCCAGACCTGCTGGTGAGGAATGTTGCACATTTATCCCGACGTCAGGCAAGACAAATAGTTTCATCTGCAAAGGTGATTAAAATTGCTATGAAAATATTAGAAAAAATATTATTAAATAGTGTGGTGGGGCCCACACTGGTGCCTTCTCCAGGCCTTGACATACATTCTGTGCCAGAATGCTTCTCCAGAAGCATCTAAATCAGTGATTACTGACCTTTGATGCTCCAGATGCTTTCGAATTCCCACTGCCAAAAGCCCAGCTAGCATGGCCAATGATCTGGGGAATCTGGGAATTGAAATCCAACACATCTGGAGGCCCATAGGGTGATACCACTGCTGTTTCACTGTCTCCAGGGCTTTTTAGGCTAGGAAAAGCTCTTTGTAGAAAGAGAGAGTCAATCAGTTGTCACTTCAGAGTTTCAAAAAAAAGTCTTTATTTAAGAAAAGGAGTAATATTGCGTTCAGAGAGTAAACTTGTACCCAAAGGTCTCTGGGTGGCTTACAGCATTTAAAATACAATAAAGATATGTAACAATTAAAATACAATTAAATAAATAAATAAATACAATTATAGCCGTTTAAAGTGCAGATGAATTGAGGGATCAATTTGTCGATTTGTAGAATATTTGTATTTGTTGATCCATTAATCTTGACGAATAATGGATCAAAACGAATTGCCATTTTTATTTATCCCCATCTCTAAACACAATCATAATAATCAACAGCAGTGACATGAAGAGCTATTGGATTTATATAAGTGCTAATACCTTGTAACATTTGCAAATTTCACTAGTTAGTCTAGGACAGTATTTCTCAAGCTTTGAGTCTCAACATGTATTTTTGTTTGTCCTCCAAGCCTACCATTCCTCTTCTTTGGCCCCTCAAAGAGAAAGAATTATCTCCTCCTTGTATGTCACACTTCAACTGTATTCAAAAACATACTGACCATAATTTAATCTTCAAAATGAGAAGAAATTCCAAACACATATGGTGTTGAAACTATTAAAGATCTATGGCATCTACATGTTTTTTGCTGGTAAGGAAGAAAGTAGGACTTGAAAGAAAGGCTCATTTCAAAAACATCTGTGAAAGATGGCGCACAGCTTTAGCTGTTGCTGAGTGATCTTCAGCTAAGAAAACCAACATCCCAATCCTAAACATATTTATTTAGAAGCAAGTTCCATTGACTTGAATAATAATATATTTCAAGATTACTGCCTAAAGTCACAGATTTAAGCAGATAATTAGCAAGCAAAGGCTTTCAGGATTATGGTTTACTTCTATACTACAGTTATGACCCCTGATGAATGTGAGAGGGTCAAGAGATTATATAGTATAAGCGCCCATCCATACTAAAGATAAGTAATCCAGGAAATGACATATCCTCTGTCTAGGCCTCACAGATTTTTTTAAAGCACACTTGAAGCAGGAAATATGTTATTAAAGTGATTTCACTGTTCACTTCCTCCCTCCCCTTCTTCAAAAAGTTTAAAGCCAACCAAATCTAAAAATAGTATTATCTAACAAAACACATCAAAAGCAGCGCCAAGCATAGCACAACTGTATGTACAAGTACAAACTCAGAATAATGAAAAGTATTTTTCCCCCACCACAACTTCTGAACTAGCACATACAATTGCTTAGTCTTGGTGCAATTCCCCTAAGTCCGGAGAGAAGATTTGTGGGGATAATATACAAATGAAAAGGATTTATACCAACAAACTTTGATGCCAACATAATGGTACCCTGTTTCTCCAAAAATAAGACAGGGTCTTATATTAATTTTTGCTCCAAAAAACGCATTAGGACGTGTTTTCAGGGGATGTTTTATTTTTTTTATGTACAACAATCTACATTTATTCAAATACAGTCATGTCATCTTCTGGTTGCTGCACAATGGTGGAGGGCAGGGTTTCACTTAACTAGGGCTTATTTTAGGGGTAGGGCTTATATTACAAGCATCCTGAAAAATCCTACTAGGACTTATTTTCAGGTAAGGTCTTATTTTCGGGAAAACAGGATACAGAATGATGGACATCCTGGCATACCTGTCTACATATTCCCAACAGAAGTGCAGCAAGTTACTGTGAGACATAGTTTATTACTCAAGTAAGGTGAGATTTCTACTTTCAATTATTTAGTTAGCTCTGCCAGTGGATACACTACATATTTTGCTTTATCTACTACAAAAATGCTGTGGTAAATAAAAGGCCAAACATTTAAAATGCTCATGTTGAAAATAATCAGAACTAACTTGTCTCTCTGTCTTTTCTGATATGGTGAAAGAAATTCTACAGTGATTTTGCATAAATCCTAATTAACATTAATCCATACTGCCAAGGCTGATATAAAGAGCATAACAAAGCCAGCTCCAATGCTCGCTTAACTGAGTGTTCATCAGTTTTCCTCAACATGTTATCCTCTAGATCAGGGGTCCCCAACCCCCAGTCCGCAACCCCGCAGTGGTCCACAGCCTAGGCAGGACCGGGCCACGGACACAGATCTCCCCTGCCTCCCTGCAAGTGCCCCTCGCAAACACCACTGCACCATGCACTCAAGCATGCCTCGCCCAGTGCGCTGAGTGCATGCATGCAAGCAAGTCCCCTGCAAGTGCCAGCAGGCACATGCTTGCAAGCACACTCCATCCGTGAGTGTGGTGCATGCATGCGCGTGAGCACCCATACACATGTATGCACCCCCAGCGAGCACACTGTGTGCATACGTGTGAGCGGGTCGCCACGAGTGCCACCGGACGCATGTGCGCAAGCGTGTTCCACCCCCGCGGGTGCACCACATGCCTACAAGCACGCCACGCCCCCTGCGAGAGCATGCGACTTCTCCCCAACTGGTCTGCAGTTGGGAAAAGGTTGGGGACCACTGCTCTAGATGTTTTAGACGAGTGGTTCCCAAACTTTTTGACACAAGAGACCAGTTTAATTGAAGACTATTCGCCCAAGGACCATGGGGGGAGGGAGTACTTGTTATGCAGTAGGCTGTCAGAGGATAGCTTTGATTCGAGGTCATTACATGTATTGTGCTGGGACAGATGAGCAGCGAGCAGGTGGTGAGCTGAAATTGAAGCTCCGCCTCCTGTTAGATCGGCAGC